AGCTTTCACATAAGTTTCATTTTTCCTTGTCCAGTGGTTCTTGAGAAGAAGATTTTTAAATGATGCCACCAGATTTTCATAAATTCTTAATTATCTCCCTTTGAAAGACGACGTGGTACTTCCTGTGAACAAACTTAAATTCCCTTCACCCAAGGATGCTTTGTAGCAAGTTTGGTTGAAATTGGTCCGATGGTTCTTGAGAAGAGGTCGAAAATGTGAAAAGTTTACGGGCTACAGACGACAGACGGACGCCGGACACTCTTTGATCAGAAAAGCTCACTTGATGATTGATAGATTGATTGTATGTTGTTTTACGTCCCATTCGAGAATTTTTCACTCATATAGAGACGTCGCCATATACCGGAGAAGAGCTTCAAATTTTGACTCAGGGCCATTGAGCAGTGAGGGATCTTTATCATGGCAACGCCTACCTTGACACGGGGCCTCGGTTTTTAAGGGCTAATCCGAAGGACCCGCAACTTTCTCTTCAAAGTTCCGAGAGCCCGGCGAAGGAAGAGTTGCTACCCATTTTTTTTATCGACTTAGTTCAGTCAGGGCCGAGATTCGAACTCACAACCTCCGTATCACGGAGCGAACGCTCTACCGACTGAGCTACCGTGAACGGTAAATGCACACTTCGGTTAGCTAAAAATTACAATATAACAAGTTGTCATAGTGTAATTTGTTGTATTTACTTCCACCCGGTAAATTCAAAAATTTCAATATGACAATACATTTATAACATAATTCAATCACTAGTGAACTCTTGTTTGCAAAAAAAAAAAAGAGTCAATTTTATTGAATTAAGGCGTGTAAAATTAAGTTGGAATCGAGAGTTAGTGTGCGTAGTTCTTTACCATACTGTCCCCATGGCTGTCTTTTAAAACTTAATGATGAACTAGTGATATTGTATGTTTGAGTACATATCAGGGTGTTGTGAATTCTCAAATGCAGGTCGCTGGAACCAGGCAAGTAATTTTATTCAATGATAAAACTCTACTGAAGTAAATGGGGGCCCATTTGATATAAAAAACGACTGGGCATTGTTTCTTCTGAAACAAGTGGGTTTTCCAAAAAGAAGAGAAAAACGGTATTCAAGGTTAAATATTTTCTCGCATGATTCCAAGGACATCAAAGCAACATTTAACAAACGAATAAGAGACAAAGTTCAGCAAAATCTCTCCTCCTCTCACTTCGACGAACGTTTTATAGATGTCCATTTTTGTAACGTTGATATTTGTAATTTTAATGTATACCATGACGTTGAATATAGTATACCCATGTTTGTTAGAAAGTTCCCTTCTCAAAATTGCTATTTTTGTAACCATGGCAACACTCTTGAAAAAAAAAAAAACTAAAATAAAGAATTCTGTATCTTACTGTACTTTACATGTGTACCAAATTTTATTGAAGTCAGGCAAAAACTGTAGGAGGGAAAGCGATTTGGAAATTACTGAATATAGTATACCCGTGTCTATTAGGAAGCCCCATTCTCAAAATTACTATTTTTGTTACAATGGCAACACTGTTCATTGAAATAAAAATACTAGAATAAATAGTTTTGTGTTTTAGTATACTCTACACGTGTACCACATTTTATTGAAGTCAGGCAAAAACTGTAGGAGGGAAAGCGATTTGAAAATTGCTTATAATTACGACAATCAGACAGCTGTAAAGCCAAAGTCTTAAGGATGACAGACATTGTGTGATTGTATAAACTCTTCCTATATCAAATTAAGTTGACCAGTATAACTAAAAACTAATTGACTGCATGCTTTGTTTTAATAGTATCACTAAATCCTCTGTTATGGAAACATTATATGTAAATTTGTTTGTATTTCTGGGATGAAAAAGGGGAAAAACACATATTTTGGCAATTATGGGCCTCATTCGTTGCCATGGCAACCACGACGTCATTTTACTCTGCATAATTAAAGACTTTAAGATTTTATTTTTCAGAAAATGTATAGGTTGCTCTATGCAAAAGTGACCAGAAAATGTTAAAATTTCAATTTGAAATTTTTATGCAGTTTTTCAGAAAAAATGCAAAATCTCTGGTAGTTAAAGGGTTAAGACATTTTTGATATTTTCAATACATATTTAGTATTTAGTGGATGAAACTTTCTCATTCATTTATCTAAGAGGTGACTGAAAGATTGCTGATATGAGACGGATTGGAAGAGTTTTGCCTTTCAGTCACCTTTCGAAACCTTAAGGTGATCATTTTGTTGACTGAAAGTTGCAGTTTCATCATCTGATTACCGAAAAAAATATCGATATCGTTTCATACATTCCTTGCAGACAAAAAAGGAACATAATAACCAGAATACAAATTGAACACTTTGAAATGAATCGTTTTGTTGTATTTCTTTTGTTGGTTTTTTTTTCAGCATGCAGCGGCGGATTCTACGGCAGTAACTGTAGCATAACTTGCGGACACTGTGTAAACTTGGAACAATGCCAAGCTATTAACGGGACATGCATGAACGGTTGTGATGAAGGATATGAAGGGACATTTTGCAACAAAAGTAAACAGTCAGCAATGTAAAATATATATATTAAAAAAAACAGTCATTTTTTGTTTCCGATTTTTTTTTTCATATTGTAAGTTCAAGAGATATATTTAGTTATTAATATTGACGTACTTGACAGCCTGCGAAATCGGAACATTTGGGCAAAACTGTCTGGAGAAGTGCAACACTGCATGTTTTGGATGTAACACAACAAATGGTAAATGTGAAACTGGGTGTCATCCAGGATGGAAAGGAGACTACTGCCATGAAGGTACGCAATGTAATAGCTATCATTTCACACATGTTGTATTTCATCATCCATGATACAGCTCACTTCTTTCTAATATGCATGCAGTTTAGATGTTTTAACAGAAAAAAAAAATACTATAACTCAAATAGAATTAAATTTTTGCTCAAAAGCTTACTACAATCATATAAAATACACATATTAAACTGGACAATTTTCAAAGCTAACACTTCTTCACCCTCAACTTTGAGTCATATTAATTGATTTCAATTTACTGCTAAATATGTGAATAAATTGTTGCAAATTCTTACTTAAATGATCATTTTAATACCACTATGTAGACTCATAATTTAAATTTGGTTTACGATATCTATGTTTTCTTCTTTCCTTTATAAAACAGATTGATATCTAATCTTCCAAGCCTTAAGTGAATACGACTAAACCTTTTACAGACCTCCTCCATTTAAGGAAAATATATTGTTCCATTATTATGGACTTTATTGTGTTATAATATTCGTCAAATACCAACAAATTCTATTAATTTTTCAGAATGTGATTATGGATTTTTTGGGGACAATTGCGACCAGGATTGTGGATTTTGCAAACAATTAAAGGAATGTCACCAAATAAATGGAACGTGTTTGAGTGGTTGTTCTGTGGGATATGAAGGGGACTTTTGCAATAAAAGTATTTGATTTACATTTTAAACGCGTACTTACATATACATAATTGTTGTATAAAATGTATTGAAATATTAAAAGAAAGCGTTGTAATCACAAGCTAATTACTGTTCTTTTTCTCTTACCATACAGCATGCGTAGATGGATTCTTTGGAGAAAACTGTGTAAAAACATGTAACAACACATGTAAAGGATGTAACAGAACAAACGGTATTTGTGAGAATGGTTGTCATGCTGGCTGGATAGGAGATTTCTGTCATGAAGGTTAAGCAATTAAGTATTTTCACAAAAAAAAAAACATGTTTATTTAGATATCAACCTTTACTTATTTCAACATCTTTTAGAGCAATTGCCTTCAACTAATTTAACCATCATTTATAATGTAAAATTAAAATATTTCTATTTATTCAGGGTTTCAAAGAATAAGATAAAACCAAAAACTCGCTTCCCTTCCCGAGTTATAGGAATCATTTGCCATATCAAAATCTTTTAATAACTATAGAATCAAGGGCCAACAAACAATTAAATTGCATGGCAAACGAGACGACCTCAGCATTTGCTTCTTCAACTTTTCTTATTTATGTTGCAATATCTCGCCTTCACCTGCATATGGTGTGTATACCTCCCAAATTGTTCGATACTCAAGAGAATGCTCCTAGTACAATCAGTTTTAAAACCGAGACAGGCCACTGACAGATAAGTTAATGTTGTATGGATTTTATCAACTTCGTTTAAATCAGTGTTCCGTAAATTCTAAAGTCATAAGGATGACCTTGTCAGCAAGTACAACCTTAGGTGGTATGAGTCGGATTTTCTCTAATTTGTTTTATACCAAATATTGGATCTTTGACTTTATCCAGAATTTGAATTCTGAATGTTTCGTTTACCTCATTAATTTAGGGCTGACGGTGGGTGGTTCCAGTCAACAGGGCGTTCTAACTCCTCCAAGTCATCTGATTCCCTTTTGAATTTCTTGGGGTCCGTCTTTTATTCCCTCCATACAGATTTCTGTTGTTATGAATATTTTTTTTAATTGATCACAGTCTGCTGACTTCGCCTTTTTATACCTATATTCCATTTTTTCAACATTTCTATCTGGCCATTTCCTAAAGTATTTAATAACATAAATATGTGTGTCTAGATTGCCTTTATTAAATTTCCAATGAAACGTTTTAAAACTTATAATTCAAAATGTGTAGTTGCGTTTTATGACAATTGCATGCAAAAATATATATGCTGTAAAAATAGTAAAATCACATTTTTATTCTTATTTTGATTTTGTTTTTTATTTGTAACGAACATTTGGGAAACATACGTATTTTGTTAATTCGTGCTCTTGTTACTGTTTAAAAAAGGTGGAAAAATAAGAATAACAATGAATAAATTGAAATCCATGGAAATTGATTTAAAAAAAAAAAATGAAAATGTGGCTTATACTTGCTCTTTCAGATTTTCATTCCTTAAATTGCTAAAATGGTCTCTGCCATAATGAAATTAAATTAAATTAATCTATTAGAAATACATGTTGTATTTTGTGTGAAACGGTAATACAAACTACAGAATGTGAGGATGGGTTCTTTGGTGAGAACTGTAGCATGACTTGTGGATATTGCAAGCAATCAGAAGAATGTAACCCAATAAATGGGACGTGTTTGAATGGATGTGCTAGGGGATATGAAGGACAACTCTGCAACACAAGTAATCAAAAATAAATCACAGAACAGAAGGTTTATTTACGATTTATATTATAAAATAATAAATTTGAAACTGATAATCTCGCTTAACTGACATTTTCATGAAAATATAAACAATAATTATGATCTCAAAAATTATCTCGTTGTAAGCAGAACATCTGTATATGTGAGTTTGCAGAGGCCACTACATTTACCCTTTTACTAAACTGTATATGAAATGGATATATATATATATATTCTTAAGCATGCAAAGATGGATACTTTGGAGAAAACTGTGCATACAAGTGTAATGAGACATGCCAAGAATGTAACAGAATAAATGGTTCCTGTGGAAATATATGTCATCCTGGTTGGAAAGGAGAATTCTGTCATGAGGGTAAACATTTTTTTTTTCTTAAAATCGTTTGCTTAAAAGTGGTTACTTACAAAGTAAAAAGTGTTAACTTAGAAACTTGATTTATTTATTATACTGATTCTGTTTTATTTTACTTTGGCCAAAGTTACAAGTCCCGTAGTATTGGAGGTGAAAAAAAATATAATGTCGAAAAATAATGGCAAAGCCACTATTATTGCATAACTTTGTAAATAATACCTTAGTGTGTGAAATGAATTGGTATGGAGCTGGCTGTAGTAAGATCTGTGGTAAATGTGTGGACAGCGAGCCTTGTCATCACGTCAATGGTACCTGTGCTGATGGTTGTGAATCAGGATATCAAGGAAATAAGTGTGATAAAGGTAAAAAAAAGGCAATTATATTGTTAAGACTCGCTATGCTGCTGCACAGTTCCATGGTATATTTCTGAGAAGCATGTCTTAAAAAAAATATCCTTGTTTTGAAATAGTCAACGTGTGAATTCTATTTCTTGTAGTTTGTGAATTTGGGTTTTATGGACCTGACTGTAAAAGCGCATGTAGTACGTTTTGTAAAGTATCACGTGACTGCCATCACGTGACTGGTGCCTGTAATTCGGGCTGTAAGGCTGGAGTGAAGGGGGATGAATGTATAATGGGTAAGTGTATAATATTTATATATACTCCTAACATATAAAGTTACTTCTAACATACAAACATATTTGATAACAAAATATATATTTTTCTTACAGTCCAAGACGATAAAAATGTCTCCCAAATAAAATTTTATGGTATTTTGAGCGCTTTTTGTGTCACTCTCCTTGTTATTGGCATTTATGTGCTTTTCAAAATTATAAAGAGGTAAGAAATCACGTTCATTTATCTTTAAAATAATAACTTCTCTAAGATTTAAAGTGCATTATTTTTATCATAAACTTAGAAAAAAAAAACAAATACAAAAACGTGTTTTTTCCCCTACAGAATGAGACATTCAAGAACAATGATTGACACGCCTTATTTTGTCGACGACTCTTCCATTCCTCAAAACGACGATGTGTCTTTGATCAAAAATGACGATCATCCAATAGAATTGAATCACGAAAATCAGGATAATTTGAAATTAGAATCATCTCTTAACTACGACACAAAGCTTTAAAAGAAATTACCTAAATGAGAAATTATTCGTCAAAGATTAATTATCTGATTTTAATTATAATGCCTTATCAATCGTCTAGCAAAGTAAACATCACGGGGAAATCGGGGATATGCAGTTTTGTTTCCTATTTTCTTTCTTCCAATTTTCGTTGTTACTAATATTTTATAAATCTATATTAGTTAAGGTTTTATGATTAGATTTAACAGATATTACATAACCAAGTAAACATTTAAAGCATTTATGTTTTTTTCTTGTAATTAAAATCTTTCAACTAATGGAAGGCAAATTAAACGTTATATACATATATTAAAAACAGTCGCCCGCGTGGCGCACTGATTAGAGCGTCTGCTCTAGAGTCGCGGAGTAAGGAGTTGATCCTTACGTCGCGGGTTCGAATCCCACTGTGGGACGTGGAGACCGGTCCTTCGGATGAGACCGTATAAACCGAGCTCCCGTGTCGCAGTAGGTGCTGGCACGAAAAAGATCCCTCACTGCTCAATGGCCGTAAATGCCGAGTATAGGACAAAATTTGCAGGTCTCCACCGGCAAGTGGTTGCCTTTCCATATGAGTGAAAAATTCTCGAGATGGACGTTAAAACAACATACAAAAAACATATATTAAAAACAACAAAATAGTATATATGTTTCTGTTCTTTTCGAGACGTATTTAATATATATATATATATATATATATATATATATATATATATATATATATATATATATATATATATATATATATATATATATATATATATGATTGCGCCCATGACAAAAGGGCCTTATGGCAATTTTGTTAAAACAGAGAAATAACGTCATAAAGATATGACGTTGCAGACGGTGAGCGTCGACGCAGATTTTTTTATCCACGTGTTTTACGTTTTGACACGTCTAGCTCACTTTTGTCGTTGTTCTCAACATTGAAATAATTATTTATTTTTATTTATATCTTTAATTCACGTCTTGATCTTCTAGTCCACTGATATTAATTAAAATATTTAGATTTTTATTCGAGACCCGTTTCTTTACTACATGTTATATTGTAGCTTTATACGTCTCTGATATCTGGGCTGTACATGTATAGAAGCTTCAGACAAGGTGATTTTCTGGATAATTGAATGTGGATGAACGAATGCGATTTTGATATATAGACAAATTGAAGTTATTTGTTAGACACGTGTATATTATCAAAATATTGCAGAGGAAATCGTTTTCCTGTATAAGATCCGCCCCACCATTCTCAACACATCGATCATGTAAACATTGAAGCATTGGTACATCGTGCATAAATTTTTGACGTAAAATGTTTTAATTGCCAAAAAATTGAAACTGATCACACTTCCTCCAACAGAAAAGAAAAGTATTCTTTTAAGTTTTCACAAATCTAGCAACCAATGACAGACGTGATATTATTTTTAAGAACTATAAATAAAAACAAGAGAGGTAACTCTGACAAGCGAGATACTAGAGAGGTACCAGAGAGGGACTTTTTTTTTTTTTTTTTTTTTTTTTAACACCATTCAAAATCAACATACTCATACAAATTTGCTCCCGTAGTATAAAAAATATTTTTAAAAATCTTACTTATCATCAGTTAAAAAACGTTTTAATTGTAAGTATTATATTTATATTTTCTTTAAAAGTATTTTTGAAAGTTCATGGAACTAGCTGCTGTCAAAGTGAAAGAGGAAAAAAAATATAGAATAAGAAAAGATGCTACATTGAACAGACTTTCATTTATTTTTTAAATTTGTTACATGTGCATCTATTTCAACATGAAATTATTTTTAAAAATAACTTGAATTTTATTTTATTTTTTTTCAGTAATAATGATCATGAATTTAAATAAAATAAATTGAAATTTAAAAAAAATTGTTTCGTCTTATTTTTGTTGTTGCCACTTCCGATATAAGTACTTGAAAACAAACAAAAACTACCGAATGAAATAAAATTGTTCTAATTGTTCTAGCTTAAAAAAAAGTTTACATGTATGTATACCTGATGTGTGTGTGAGAGAGGGAGAGAGAAAGAGAGAGAGAGAGAGAGAGATGTTACATTAAATCCAGTTTATTAATACAATGTGAAATGTGAAACTTTAATGAAAGGGCGAATTTTCAAAACACAACAATATCGTATTATGAAAAGAAATCTCTATCCCTTGGTACTCGTACGTGTTGTGCATAAAAAAGTTCAAAGGTTTTAGCTTTATCTGCAGTTTTAAGTCACTTACAAGTCAAATATATATAATGCTTATCATTCATAGAATCTCAGCATTGTATGTCATTACAGTTCTATTATCTATCTAAAACTCGTTTTCTTATTGAAATAATAATCTCAGTTATCGGTTTAGTATGATATTGCTTAACTTGCCGTTGAATTATGTAAACGGGCTGATTTTTGTTATTTGGATTTATTGAAATAAATCTTTTTAAGATCAAATTGTATTTAAACATGCATTGTACAAATTAAATTAAATGCTAAAAATATACTGCACAAAAGACTAAGAATATGTTTGCAAGTTTTTATTTTTGTGGCAGTGCAGGAAACCGGGGAAGAGGGCCAGGGTCATTTTATATTACCGGGACCTAACTACTTTACAGTTTATCTGTAAAGCTTTACAAGGATAAGCATATCCAAGTCTCTGGCATGGGGCCAGAATGGAATTTTTATATTGTAAAACTTCATATACAGTAACATTTGAAAACAATAACATTAGAATTTCATACGATAAAGAAGCCACGAGAAATGGGGGGGGGGGGGGGGTCTACACACACCATCACATAACAATATTTACATGTACCTAAATGTGTGCCACATCGTAAAAATTTGTCATTTAAAAAACTCAGCCAGTCAACGAATATTATGAACCAGTCGCATTTAACTGACTGTATATATAAAACTTTCAATTAATTTTTACACCCCCCCCCCCAGCCGAAAAAATCTATTAATTAATCTGCATGTCATTGATTCATAACGACAACATATATATAATTATTTATGATTTATTTCTTAGAAAAATCTATTTAATATTAATTTTAAAAAATGACATATTGATTTCATTCAAAGTTCAGATAAAATTTGTTGAAATGACAATAAAATACCCGATATCTATTAATACGCAGTGTATACATGTACTTCTAAAACCATTTAATTTTACAAAATCAAACGAAAATCGTTATTCTAGGACGCAATTTTTCTCATGATTAACTAGATTTGATAACAGTTAAGTTTCCATTTCCAGGCATGTGGAGCTCATGATCGCTGTTTGTTTTGCAATTGACCCTGCTCATACATGAATACATGTACGTAAGGAGAAGTTCAAGGTGAAAAAATAAATTGAGGAATTATTTCAATAATATTTCAAACCTAACCAAATGATGTATTTGGAGGTTATGGGGTTGGTGGTGGGAAGGCATCCCCACTGCACACCTAAAATGTAGGAAGATTTTAAAAATAGACAACCCTCGTATGTTATTAAACTCATGTTAACTACAAGTATTGCATGTTTCTGTCATTTAACTTTTAACCCCCCCCCCCCCCCACACACACACACACACACAATCCAACCACTGGATCTGTTCCTTTCATTTTAAATGCATGTGAATTATAATTCATCCATTTGTTTATAATTTATCAACCTGCTTACTTAAATTAATTATTTAAAAATTTTCCTTGCTGTGACTGAAAAAAATGTGTATCATTTCAATTTAAAAAAAAAAGAAGTTTTGTTACCACATGCGGGCAGAAGTCCTGAGTTTTTGTTTGAAATTTTTTTTTATCGAATATTGCTTAACAAGCAGTGTATCAACTTAATGTCCTTAAATTGTTGTACAGCGTATACAGTAACTCACTACATTTCACAAATTTTCTGTCTAATTATATTTAGAAGAAAAAAAAAAAAAAAAAAAAAAAAAAACACAACAACAAATTTTCACCACCCAGCAGCATCTATTTTATTGTTGTTCCCGAGAATTTTTTTGAAATATTTATTAACTTCACATTTTGAAAGAGATATCGTTTATACTGGATTCAACCCCCCCCCCCCCCCCAAAAAAAAAAAAAAAAAAAAAAAAATGACATCTTGTCCTATCGAGAGCCATGCTTAAAATGAGATGATTTTTTAATAAATTCTACAGGTTTCTCAAACGATTATAACACGATATAATACTTTGGTTTTGAGAGAATAAATTGATATTGAACAGAAGCCGCTTGCTTCTCGGGTTTTCCTGACATTCCAGCATAGTGAAATGTAAAACAAACAAACGAACAAACTCTCATAATTCTATACACCACTGCATGATGGATAATAGTTAATACAACTATTTATTATCATATTATATAATTATTAAAAGAGACAATGACTCAAAAATGTTTCATGAAATACTCAATAACATACGTTTATTACCGTAGTAACATTACAATGCAAAGTGAAAGTCAAGTTCACTCTGAAAACTTTTGACGTTGGTGCGAAAGTAACATGACGTCATTGTTTACCTGTTAAAGTATCATTGATATAAATGAAGAAAAAACCTACTTAGAGTTGACGTAGGGCCATAAAAATTCAGATTTGGCAACTTCTAACCTTGCTCTATTAATATCCATGAAAACCTTAAAATGTGTAAAAACTGCCATAAGGGCCCTTTTCCCATGGGCGCAATCATATATATATATATATATATATATATATATATATATATATATATATATATATATATATATATATATATATATATATATATATATATATATATATATATATATATATATTAAACGATACACATTCGTAGAAGAACAGAAAAAAAATTATTATACTATACATTCAATCGTCGGGCAGCATTTCTTTCTAAATTAAATTTGGTATTAATAATATAATAATGATATTTGGTAAAACTAGAGCAGAGCTTGTTGCAAAGCAACGAGTAGGTTCTCCATTATAGCTGTGGACAGGAAGTAAAGGAGTGTACAGTGGTGACCCTGAACTTGTCAAAATAATTTTGCAT